CCTCCGCATGCTCAAAGAATGGAATATACCTCAACCGACATCACCCAACGACGAGGCGCGCAATCCACCGAGACGCTCTCCTGCACAAATATCCAGAGACTGGAATACAGCTAAGTGACTTTGCAGCACAATGCATGACCCGTTAATATGGCTTGTTGCCAATTTTATACACATGGGTTACCCCAATTGAAACCCGACTTAAGTTACACCTCTATTCTACTGTAACAAGTTGGGGGCACCGTTTTGCTAACCCCCTAGCACACAACTAGACATCTTCCCATGACCATCCAAGGGTAGCGCACACAGGATATTCATTCACGCTACACAGAGTCTCTACACCCGCACCTAGAGTCTCACGCAGGTCAACACTATGACCCCCACCAGGCCAATAATGGCCTCCACTATGCCGTTTGTACCTCTCAGTACCACCCCCGACGGCACTATGTACATAGTTCAAACTGTTATATTGTTTATCATGTCTATGTCTTGGTATGTTCACACTGTGTCACAAGTGTCACACCCTACCACAACCTACCACCTATCCGTGACACTCCACACGCACACGCCACCGATGCTAGATGCAATCAAAGCCCACAACGCCTCTACCCGCACAGACAGCGACACTTTTTCGAGCTCGGGCCAATTTCACCACAGCATAATAGGGCCGTACCCGACAAACCCCACCACACAACCTATTAAGCGCAACGTGATGCTCATATATAAGTTAGATGGGAAAGGGAGCGGTAAAATAAATAGCACAATGACCTACGTAGCAGACTTCCATAAACCTGTAAAATGACCCTCACAATTGTATCACTAAACGCAAAAGAGCTGAACACACCCCACAAACGAAGACTAGCGCTGGAAGAAGCCAAAAAATCGAAAGCCCAAATAGCTTTCTACCAGGAAACCCACTTCAAGTGGGGGAATAGACCCAAATTCAACTCCGCCCTCTACCCTCATGATTTCCACTCATGCTATAAATCGAAAAAAAGAGGAGTAACCACTCTCATAAGCAAAGACGCATCCTTCACCCTGGTGAAAAAAATTGGCGACAAACATGGTAGATACCTAATCATTCAGTGTTATATCAATAACAGCCCATATACACTGGTCAACATTTATGGACCAAATGACAACCAACATGAGTTTATAGTTAAAATATTTAGCTTACTCGCATTATACAGTTTTGGTGATACCATAATTGGTGGCGACACCAACTTCTTGCTGAATGCCTCCATAGACACATCAGCATGCCATTCAGCCCTTGCGAAAACAACCAAACAATTAACAACCCTCACCTCTAAGATTGCCCACACCATCCGCTCACACGACTTTGTAGACCCATGGCGGATACTTCACCCCATGGATAGGGACTACACATTCCACTCTGCAGTACACAATACATACACTAGGATAGACAGATTCTTGATACCTACTAAATACATAGACAAAATCCAGTCAGCAGAAATAGGCCTAATAACATGGTCAGACCACGCCCCTACAACACTAACCATCCAGGAACAATACACATCCAAAGGAAAAGGCACCTGGAGACTAAACGACACCTTGCTTGCAAACCACGACACAGCAGCCAACATACAGTGTGACATAGAAACATATTTCAGAGAAAACACATTAGAAGACACAAGTATAGAGACATTATGGCAAGCGCACAAAGCAGTCATCAGAGGCACGATTATTAGACTAGCTAGTTACCAACACAAACAACGCAAACTACACTATACAAAACTCATACAGGACATCGCAGATCTCACGCACAAAAATAAACTACAACCCTCTAAAGACACACACACACAATTA